AGGCTTTTTTATGACGTTGCAGTAAGTTCATCTCCATCAGTTACTTACTTCACTTCACTTTTGGAGTTCTCCCCCCATAAAAACCTTAAAGTCAAGCTCTGGCTGCATTTATTTTTAGATGGGCAGGAAATGAGAATCGGTGGCCTGCCTCAGGTCCTTATTCTGTGCTGGACTAGAAAGGCCAAAGATATAAATAAGAGGTGCAGTTGCTTATGGAGAAGACAATTATGCTGGGGAAAGTGGAAGGCAAAAGGAAGAGGGGCCGACCAAGGGCAAGATGGATGGATGGCATCCTTGAAGTGACTGGACTGACCTTGAGGGAGCTGGGGGTGGTAACGGCCGACAGGGAGCTCTGGCGTGGGCTGGTCCATGAGGTCACGAAGAGTCGGAGACGACTGAACGAATGAACAAAGTTGCTTATGATTCTGAGAAAGCTAAGACTAGAAACAGCATACAGGAAATGCAAAACATGAAAAGAACAGAGGACTTTAGGTTTAACACTCTGCTCTTCAAAAGCTTTTGAAATGTTAGTTGGATGTTGTTTTCTAATCTTGTGTATTTTTATCACATTTTGGGTCAGTTTGTTTTATATTGTATATTTTCATTAATTTCAGTTGGATAATTAACTTTACAATGGTGTAGTGTTAGATTTTATTATTGTTTGTGCAGGTATATATATGTGTATACATATTGTAAATAATACAGATGATATATATTGTAGAATCATAGAATCAAAGAGTTGGAAGAGACCTCATGGGCCATCCAGTCCAACCCCCTGCCAAGAAGCAGGAATATTGCATTCAAATCACCCCTGACAGATGGCCATCCAGCCTCTGTTTAAAAGCTTCCAAAGAAGGAGCCTCCGCCACACTCCGGGGCAGAGAGTTCCACTGCTGAATGGCTCTCACAGTCAGGAAGTTCTTCCTCATGTTCAGATGGAATCTCCTCTCTTGTAGTTTGAAGCCATTGTTCCGCGTCTTAGTCTCCAGGGAAGCAGAAAACAAGCTTGCTCCCTCCTCCCTGTGGCTTCCTCTCACATATTTATACATGGCTATCATATCCCCTCTCAGCCTTCTCTTCTTCAGGCTAAACATGCCCAGCTCCTTAAGCCGCTCCTCATAGGGCTTGTTCTCCAAACCTTTTATCATTTTAGTCGCTCTCCTCTGGACACATTCCAGCTTGTCAATATCTCTCTTGAATTGTGGTGCCCAGAATTGGACACAATATTCCAGGTGTGGTCTAACCAAAGCAGAATAGAGGGGTAGCATTACTTCCCTAGATCTAGACACTATGCTCCTATTGATGCAGGCCAAAATCCCATTGGCTTTTTTTGCTGCCACATCACATTGTTGGCTCATGTTTAACTTGTTGTCCACGAGGACTCCAAGATCTTTTTCACACATACTGCTCTCGAGCCAGGCATCCCCCATTCTGTATCTTTGCATTTCGTTTTTACTGCCAAAGTGGAGTATCTTGCATTTGTCACTGTTGAACTTCATTTTGTTAGTTTTGGCCCATCTCTCTAATCTGTCAAGATCGTTTTGAATCCTGCTCCTGTCCTCTGGAGTATTGGCTATCCCTCCCAATTTGGTGTCGTCTGCAAACTTGATGATCCTGCCTTCTAAAGCTTCATCTAAGTCATTAATAAAGATGTTGAACAGGACCGGGCCCAGGACGGAACCCTGCGGCACTCCGCTCGTCACTTCTTTCCAGGATGAAGAGGAAGCATTGGTGAGCACCCTCTGGGTTCGTCCATTTAACCAATTACAGATCCACCTCACCGTAGTTTTGCCTAGCCCACATTGGACTAGTTTCCTTGCCAGAAGGTCATGGGGGACCTTGTCGAAGGCCTTACTGAAATCCAGGTACGCTACATCCACGGCATTCCCCGCATCTACCCAGCTTGTAACTCTATCGAAAAAAGAGATCAGATTAGTCTGGCATGACTTGTTTTTGATAAATCCATGTTGACTATTAGCAATGACCGCATTTGTTTCTAAGTGTTTGCAGACCACTTCCTTAACAATCTTTTCCAGAATCTTGCCTGGTATCGACGTGAGGCTGACCGGACGGTAGTTGTTTGGGTTGTCCTTTTTTCCCTTCTTGAAGATTGGGACCACATTGACCCTCCTCCAATCTGCTGGAACTTCTCCCGTTCTCCAAGAACTCTCAAAGATGGTTGCCAATGGTTCCGAAATGACTTCCGCTAGTTCCTTCAATACTCTTGGGTGTAGTTGATCTGGCCCTGGGGACTTGAACTCATTTAGAGCGGCCAGGTATTCCTGTACGACTTGTTTCCCAATTTGGAGTTGGATGTCCTCAAATCCCTCATCCACTCTGTCTTGCTGAGGTTGAAGATGACTTTCTTTTTGTGAGAAGACCGAGGCAAAGAAGGTATTAAGTAGTTCTGCCTTTTCCCTATCTTGCCCCATCTTCTCCTCGAAGAGGCCCTATCGCCTCCTTGTTTTTCCTTTTTCTACTGACATAAGAAAAGATTCCCTTTTTATTGCTTTTAATGTCCCTGGCAAGCCTGAGCTCGTTTTGTGCTTTAGCCTTGCGGACCTTTTCCCTACAGGTGTTGGCTATTTGTTTGAATTCTTCTTTGGTGATTTCTCCCTTTTTCCACTTCTTGTTCATGTCCCTTTTTCCACTTCTTGTGCATGCACTTGTCCTTTTTTTTCTCTTTTTGTTGGCACGGTTTTCAACTGCGCCTTGAGTATTTCACTCTTGAGAAACTCCCATCCATCCGCAACTCCCTTGTCTTTTAGTAACTGTGTTCACGGAATGCTGCTCAGTGTTTCCTTCAGCTCTCCTAAAGTCCAAAATGCGGGTTTGACTTGTCTTAGTTTCGGCCTTCCTTTGTACCTCAAATTGCAGGAGCACATGTTCACTTGCCCCTAAGGATCCTACCACTTCTACCGCATCGATCAGGTCCTCCGCATTTGTTAGGATGAGATCAAGAATAGCCAATCCCCTTGTTGCCTCTTCTACCTTCTGGACCATGAAATTGTCTGCAAGGCAAGCGAGGAATTTGTTGGACTTAGTACTCTTGGCCGAGTTTGTTTTCCAGCAAATATCGGGATAGTTGAAATAGCCCATGACTACTACATCTCTTCTCTATGCCTGTTTTGTCAACTGTTGGCAGAAGACTTCATCAAGTTCTTCCTCCTGGCTTGGAGGTCTGTAGTAGACTCCTACAACAAGATCTTTTTGAGTCCCAGTTCACTTGATTCTTATCCAGATGCTTTTAAGCTGGTTTCCCGGATTGCTGTCATGCATTTCTTCTGCAGCATAAGAGTTTTTGACATATAAGGCTACTCCGCCTCCTCTCCCCTTTTTTTGGTTTCTGTGAAAGAGTTTATAGCCCTCGATGTCTACATTCCAGCGATAGGAGTCATCCCACCAGGTTTCAGTGATGCCTATGATATCATATTTGTGGTGTTGTGCTCAAAGTTGGAGTTCGTCATGTTTATTTCCCATGCTCTGTGCATTAGTGTAAAGAAATGTGAGCCCCTGAGATCTTCCCCTGAGCTGTTTAATTGGGATTATTGTGCTTTCAGTACTTGGTCCTTTTTGTGTTTGTGCAGCCCTCCGTTTAGCCTTCTGGCGGTTCCCTGACATTGTGGGTAAAGTAGTGTTCGCAAGGCTGTTGTCCCCCTCCCCCAGTGGGCCTAGTTTAAAGTGCGCCTAATGAGGTTTGCGAGTCTGTGAGCAAAAAGGTGTTTTCCTAGTTGTGTGAGATGCACCCCATCCCTTGCCAGTAGGCTATCCTCCTGGAAAAGCAGGCCATGGTCAAGGAAGCCAAAGCGTTCCTCCTGACACCATTTTCTAAGCCAGTCATTGACCTGTACTATTTTTCTGGCCCTTGTAGGACCGTGTTTTATGACTGGGAGGAGGGATGAAAAGACCACCTGTACATTACATTGCTTTAGCTTTGTTCCTAGAGCTCGAAAATCATTTGTGATCTTTTGAAAAGTATGCCTAGCAGTATCATTGGTTCCTACATGAATCAACATGAGGGGAGGATGGTGATGGTGCTTGAGGAGCCTGGTGAGCCTCTGAGTGATATGGTATATTTTTGCCCCCGGTAGGCAAAAATATATCAAGATCACATAATACATTTATTACATATTATATATATATATATATATATATATATATATATAATGTACATAACACAGATTATATACAGTATATTGTTTTATATCTATTTATATTTATTATATAAACACAACACAGTTATGTATATATCAGACAGTACATTTTATACACACATAAATTATTATTATGTTCAGGTATGGTTATAAACACACAAAAATCAAAAATAAAACTGTTGCAAAAAATATTCAGAAAAAAAACCTATTTATGTATGTATATATGTGTTTGTGTGTATACAGTATGTGTACATACACATATAAAGGTATAAAGGTATAAAGGTAAAGGTAAAGGTTTTCCCCTGACATGAAGTCCAGTTGTGTCCGACTCTGGAGTGTGGTGCTCATCTCCATTTCTAAGCCGAAGAGCCAGCATTGTCCATGGACACCTCCAAGGTCATGTGGCCGGCATGACTGCATGGAGCACCATTACCATTACTTATTGATCTACTCACATTTGCATGTTTTCAAACTGCTAGGTTGACAGAAACTGGGGCTGACAGCGGAAGCTCATGCCGCTCCCCAGATTCAAACCTGCGACCTTTCGGTCAACAAGCTCAGCAGCTCAGCAGTTTAACCCACGGTGCCACCAGGGGCACACACACATATGCCTTGTTTTTTGTTCTTTTACTTCAAAAGTACCATGCACATGGATGGCACTATATGATAATGGATTTTTTGTTGTGTCAGGAGAGACTTGAGAATCTGCAAATCACTTGTGGTGTGAGAGAATTGGCCCTCCTCAAGGACGCTGTCCAGGGGACAACCGGATGATTTGATGTTTTTATAATCCTTGTGGGAGGCTTCTCTCATGTCTCCGCATGAGGAGCTGGAGCTGGTAGAGGGAGCTCATCTGCCTCTCCCTGGATTCAAACCTGAGACCTGTCGGTCTTCAGTCCTGCTGGCACAGGGGTTTAACCCACTGCGCCACCGGGGGCTCCTTATAATAATGGATAATGAGGATAATGATAATAATAATAATTGAACTGAAAAATTGACAACAAATTCCAAGTGTAGACTCTGCAATGAAGCAGACGAAATGATGGATTACGTACTCAGGTGCTGCAAGAAGATAGTGCAAACAGACTACAAGCAGAGGTATAATACTGTTGCTCAGATGATCCACTGGAACTCGTGCCACAAATACCATTTACCTGTGACAAAGAACTGGTGGGATCACAAGCCTGATAAAATTACAGAAAATGAACACATAAAACTACTCTGGGTCTTCCGAATTCAGACTGACAAAATTTAGAAGCACAATACTCCTGACCTCATGATCATGGGGAAAAAAAACAAAAACAAAACACATAACGTCGATGTTACAATCTGAGGCAACAGCAGAACTGATGAGAAACAACTGGAAAAGGTTCTTCAAAAGAGGATTTAAAGATCAAGCTGTAGACTCCAGCACAAGCCAGTAAAGTTGGTCCCAGTAGTGATCGGCACACTGAGAACAGTGCTTAAAGACCTTAAAGGTAAAGGTTTCCCCTTGACATTAAGTATAGTCGTGTCTGACTCTGGGGGTTGGTGCTCATCTCCATTTCTAAGCCAAAGAGCTGGTATTGTTTGTAGATGTCTCCTAGGTCATGTGGCTGGCATGACTGCATGGAGCACCATTACCTTCCCACCAAATCGGTACATATGGATCTACTGACATTTGCATGTTTTCGAACGGCTAGGTTGGGAGAACCTGGGGCTAATGATGGGAGCTCGTCCTGTCCTGTGGATTTGATTGCCGACCCTCCAAGGTCTGCAACTTAAGACCTTGGCCAGCACTTAAAAACAATCACCATACGTCAGCTGTAAAAGGCCACCCTGCTTGGATCTGCATGCATTAGTCCCCTATACATCTCATAGTCTCATATATATATATATATATATATATATATACACACACACACACACACACACAATATATTAATATATAGAAATAACATTGTAATATAATACTAATATATTACTTAACTACAATGTATGATATAATGCAATATATTATATAATACTAATAGTATAATAAACTGGTGGTATGTTATATGTGTTGTGGTATAATAATAGTACAATATAATAATACATATTTATATGTATATATATTACAAATAATATTGCAGTATAGTACAGTACAATATATCTAATACTAATATTGTGCTAGGCTAATAATATATTGTATATACATGTTATTAATAATATTGTAACGTAATGCGATTTAACACTAATAATATTGTAATACAAATATATTATACTACTACTGATAATATATAATAACATTCAATGATAATACTGTTTTATAATTGTATATTTGTAGTTGTACTGTAATTGTTTTTAATTGTGAGCCGCTTTGAGTCTCCCATATGGAGAGATAAAAAAGGATATAAATAAATGAAATAGCCATAGACACTTGGGAAGTGTCCAACGTGTGATCCAATCCAAGAGCCAGCAGAGTGATCTTGCTTGATGTGTCCTAATCTAGCAAGAGCAAGTCCCTTCCTCAAACAAACTCCTCCTCCCAAGAGGCAGAGCGCAGATTGAGCGTCACGAGCCCGCTTGCCTGATCCATTCTGACGTCACTAGCGAGCCCCTCCCCCCTCCCGTCAGCCTCCTCGCGCTGCTTGGGTGACGTGTCTTTCGTCCGCCTAAAGCTCAATGGCGTGTTCCCGTTGGCCGATGGGTATCGTAGTTTGTTTACCAGCAGGGCTGCGTTAGAGTCTATGTAGAGCAGCACTACATTTCCCGCCATGCAAGAGGGCGGTGGGAGGGCTTTCGAAAGGAGACGGAAGATACAGTCAGCATACGACCGGAGAAGGACTCAGGAAGCCGGCAAGTGCCACTACGGAGTCGTAAGCGGTGTTCTGAAGGGACCCGAGCAAGCGGGTGAAGATGGCCGGGGAAATGACCATGCTGGGTGAGTGGGAGGGCGGCGTGCTTGGCCGGGAGGCCTTCAGGGCTTATGGGGGGCCGGCTATGTCTCGGAAGCCCCGTCAGTTCCCCACTTCTCCTCCTTCTTCCCTCTGCTGCTTCCTTGCGGTGCTTGGGGGGCCTCAGGGCTTAGAGAGAGAGAGACAGAGAAAGGAAAGGGACAAAGTTCAACAGGGACCAGGCATGTAGCCCCCCCCCCCCGAAATTCTGGTACATTATTTAAACTGTTATGTTTATTCATATCATGTATATTCCATTTACTATAATTGCTTTGCAGCCCCCTTGGGGGTTGCGACAAACCCTTTGATTGCATCCCTGTATGCTTGTTTGTCGTTATTGCTATGGCCACGCAATAATAAATAGTTTTTTGCAGTTTAAAGGATTCAACTTTCGTGGTGTCCATCCTTGCCCTCCCTATTGAAAAGGGGGCTTCTGCCTTTTGGGAAATATTTTGGTTTCGTTGCCCCTACATGATCACCATGCTCAATATATCCCATATGCATGGGGGTATTGGGATAATGCTACCAAAGGTTTGCTAGGGTAGATCCTTTCTCACTCAGACTCGCCCCCCCCCCCCCCAATCAAAATCCAGGCTACTGGCCTGACAGGGACAAATGTAAGATACTCCATTTAGGCAGGGAAAAAAATGAAATGCAAAGATACAGAATGGGGGACGCCTGGCTTGACAGCAGCACATGTGAAAAAGACCTTGGTGTCCTCGTGGACAATAAGTTAAACATGAGCCAACAATTTCATGCAACAGCAAAAAAAAGCCAATGGGATTTTGGCCTGCATCAAAAGGAATATAGCGTTTACATCCAAGGATGTCATGCTACCCCTCTATTCTGCCTTGGTGAGACCACACCTGGAATACTGTGTCCAGTTCTGGGCACCGCAATTGAAGGGAGATGTTGACAAGTTGGAATGTGTCCAGAGAAGGGCGACTAAAATGATCAAGGGTCTGGAGAACAAGCCCTATGAGGAGAGGCTTAAAAGAGTGGGGCATGTTTGGCCTTCAGAAGAGAAGGCTGAGAGGAGACATGATGAGGGCCATGTGTAAATATGTGAGGGAGGAGGGAACAAGTTTGTTTTCAGCTGGCCTGGAGGCTAGGACTCGGAACAGTGGCTTCAAACTACAAGAAAGAAGACTCCATCTGAACATTAGGAAGAACTTCCTGGCTGTCAGAGCTGTTTGGCAGTGGAACTCTGCCCCAGAGTGTGGTGGAGGCTCCTCCTTTGGAGGCTTTTAAACAAAGGCTGGATGGCCATCTGTCGAGGGTGCTTTGAATGCGATTTTCCTGCTTCTTGGAAGGGGGTTGGACTGGATGGCCCACAAGGTCTCTATGATTTTGTGAGAGGAATTATGGGGGCCCAAGAGAGCCTCCACATTCAGTGAATTGTGACACCACTCTCACTACCATGGCCCAGTGCTAGAGAATCCTGGCAAATGTGTTGGTTTTGTGAGATCTTTATCCTTCTCTGTCCCCTTCCATACAGCTGAATAAAATCCCACATTATCCGCTTTGAACTTGAGTATATGGCAGCGTGGACTCAGATAACCCATTTCAAAGCAGATATTGTGGGATTTTCTGCCTTGATATTCTGGATTATATGGCTATTTAGAAGGGCCCTCTGTCACAGGGCTCTGGTGCCACAACAAACCACACATCCCAGAATCTTACAACAACGAGCCTCAGAATTTAATCACATACAAACTTGTGTGCCTGTGGGCATTATGTAGTACCCACATATACAGTATATAATAACAGTAATAATAGTAGTAGTAATTATTATAACTTTATTTTTGTATCACGCCTCCATCTCCCCAAAGGGACTCAGGGCAGCTTACATGGGGTCAAGCCTGAGATTCAACATAGTTAAAATATAACAACAAAATTCATAAAAAACATTTCAAACAATATAAAACAACCACAGAATACAATACATAGCGAACATCTAGCAACCTTCAATGGTCTGAGTAGTGTACTGTACTGGGTTTGGGTGGGCAACTGGTGCAAATCACTTGCCAAAGGATAGGATTGATGGATAAAGGAAAATGAACAGTATTTGGACCTGGGGGGAGGGGGGGGGCTAATATAAGGAGAGTATTAAGTCTCTAAAGGGGGCAATGGTAATGTGTAAGATCTGATTATGGATCAAATTGGGAACCAGAATTATCTGGGGAACTATCTAGTCCAGCGGTCCTCAAACTAAGGCCCGGTGGCCGGATACAGCCCTCCAAGGTCATTTATCCCGCCCTCACTCAGGGCCCTCACCAAAGTCTGAAACGACAGTCACACAACAACAACAATCCTATCTCAAAAGCAGGTCCACACTTCCGATTGAAATGCTAATAAGTTTATATTTGTTAAAATTGTCCTTGATTTTAATTATTATATTGTTTTTAAGTGTTTCTTGCACTACAAATAAGATATGTCCAGCGTGCATAGGAATTTATTCTTTTTTTTTTTCAAATTATAATCTGGCCTCCAGCAGTTTGAGGGACTGTGACCTTCTGTTTAAAAACTTTGAGGACTCCTGATCTATTCGAATAGATAATATATGCATTATATGCTATTTTATCTGGATAATTTGTTTTACAATGTTACTGCTTTACATTTGTTATTGTTCATATAGATATAAAGCTTATACATATTAACCCCTGTTGTGTGACAGACCCAGGCACTACAGTGACTGTGTATGAGATAAAGGTTAATGACCCAATCCCTGGCATTTATTCCCACAACAAGGGTTTAAGGAAGGCATGGGCAAACTTCGACCCTCCTCCAGGTGTTTTGGACTTCAACCTCCACAGTTCCTAACAGCCTCAGGCGCTTTCCTTTTCCCCCTCGGCCACTTAAGCTGAGGTGGAAACCAAATTAAAACCAAATCGATTGTAGGTCCTTGGTTTTTGTGTGTGAAAAGAAAAGATGGGAATGAACAATGCTAGAAATTATTAGAACAGACAGAATATAACACTGGCAGTATCAGAAAGCTTTAATTTAAATAATAAAATCAGTATACAGTCTTGAGTGCTATTTTAAAAAATATAGAGCAGAAAAGAGACGAGGGAAATGTGAATGGTGTAGTAGAACATCTGCCTGGAATGACATGTGATCGACATCTATAAATTTCTGTGATGCTGACATGGATTCTGCTTGGATGCTTGTTTGACTTGTTATTTTTTTCTTTTGGTTCTTTTTTTTTCAAGGTTCTGCAATTTTGACTCTCCTGTTAGCTGGATACTTGGCCCAACAGTATTTGCCTATGCCCACACCGAAAGTAATAGGGATTGACCTTGGCACCACTTATTGTTCAGTTGGGGTGTTCCTTCCTGGCACGGGGCAGGTGAAAGTGATTCCTGATGAAAACGGACACAACAGCATCCCAAGTATTGTCTCATTCACTGAGAAAGATGTATATGTGGGATATGATGGACTTGAGCTGGCAGATGCAAATCCACAGAACACTGTGTATGATGCAAAGCGCTTTATAGGAAAGATTTTCACACCAGAGGAACTGATAAGAGAAAGTAGTAGGTACCCCTTTAAGGTGAGATACTGGCTTTGTTTGCCAGCTACTTACTATGTGATAACCACAGTCTTAGAACAATTTCTAAAAACTGTTGGTTTGCTCTTGAAATAGGACAAGTTGAAGTCTTTTGGTGAGAAATGCTGAAAATTAGTGTGGAGTGTTCATTTCTGTTTTACTGAAATGTATATATGCTGCTTGGACTGCTTAATTTTTACTGCACAGTTGTTTGATCTAAACTATGTACATTTTATATGCCATGTCAATCTGTGATTGCAGAAAGTGGGAGCAGAAAGCATACAAGGTTTTCCTAACTTTGATTATAAATGTTGAAATGTTTATGTAGTTTCTATATAAAATCTTGGATTAATACATAGACAGATATAGCTGAGCTTGTAAAAGTAGCTGTATATACTCCTCCCTATCACAGCACACTTAGCCCAGTATGCCACATTAGGTTCAGGGAGCCATGGTGAATTGAATGAGTTTCAATTGAATGCTTTTTCAACTGTGAGCCCCAAACCATATATAAGGTTCCTTTAGCTCTATATGGGTCATGAAAACGCTGGCAACAGTAAAAGGTTTCTGAACACCATCCTTTTACACAAATCTCTTGGCAACAACATGGAATGTTTCCAGTGGACAGAAAATGCTTTAGCTGTACTCCACAAAAAGGAAAAACAGCAAGCTTTGCAAATACTGATTTATTTTCAGTAAATGTTTGATTTTTATAACTTTTATATTCACATATGTCTGGGGTCATTTAAAAATTTCCTAGGCAGACAGGGGTCATGAGTGAGAAAAGTTTAAGAAGCTCTGGTGTAAAAGGATCAGGATCCCCAAATATTAGGGAAAGGAAACATTGATGAATAGATTCCCTCTCTCTGAAGATAACATTCATAAAGGGGTTCCAAACATCCCTCTAGTACACTTCATCTTAAACTGTGAGTCCCGACCCCAAATGGGATCTCCTTAACTTTATGTTGGAGTCCCAAAAAATTTGGCAACTGTAAAAGTTTTCTGAATAACACCTAGTGGCTGTTTTAGACATTTATGTGGATCTGTTGTGCAGTGTTTACAGTGTACTCTGCAGAAGATGCTTCAGCTGTCTTCATTAAAAAAAAAATCAGCCTATTTTGCAAGCCCTGCAAATGCTTATTTGTTATCAGTAAATGTTTGAGGTTTCTATCTATTTTACATACCTGGAATCATGTAAAACTTTCTCAGGCCCCAAAGGTCTGTGAATGAAAAAGTTTAAAAAGCCCAGATCTAATCCAAGTGCAGTTGCAGTCTGGGAATCCACAGGTAAAGCTCACCAGAAAACTGGTGCAGTCAGGTAAAATCTCAGAAAAAATGAGGGAAAACAATTTCCCCCTAAATTGGAAAAACGGGGAAATGGTTGATAAAATATATTCTTTTAGAATAATGAAAAAAATGGTAGCTAATGTAGTTCCTGACAGTAGTTTTGCTTTTTTGGGTCTTTTGAGGGGAATGTGTGCTTTATGTTTAGAGAGCCAGCATTTTGCAGTGCTTTGGGTATTGGGTTATCACTGGAGACTAGTGTTTGAATCTCTCAACCTCAGAGGAAGTCAAAGAGAGATTCTCTCAGAACAAATCTTGCCATGAAAACCCCTGCTGCCATAAATCAGACATGACTTGAAGGCACACAACAATCAAAATACTTGATGCTATGGAGAACTGAAGGACATAAAATAATTGTCTTCACTTTTTAAGTATTGATAATTTCTCCCTTTTTCATTATTCCTTGCCTGCCAATAATGCTTGTTTGAAGTAATGATAATTTAAATTATAATTTTGTTGTTTCAAACCAAATGACGAAGTACTCTCAAAATCTGTAAGGAGTCCTAATATCGCATTTATTCAGTGTTACCAAAAGCTTCTCTTTTTTAAATATATTTTTTATATTAAACACAACAGTTACAATTCCCACCACCACTACGAGGATTATTTTGTATTATCTGCCAGAAATATTATACCTGTTCACATTCCCACATCATGTGCGTAAACCACCCTTTCTGTTGGCATCCATGCCAGCACTGACTGATCCCCTTTTTATGATAGTACGCTAATTGACAGGGTGTACGATACCACTTATGTAATGTTTTCCTCCTAATTTCTCTTACTCTTGTATTCCTTGTCATCCCTGTTGTCTCTACCACTTGTCTCATATCTTGTTCTGTAATTTGTAACTCCATTTCCCACATACTTTTCCAGTCCCGTATTGTACACCCGTCGGCCTCTATTAACGTATATATTTTACTGGCCTGTGCGTTGTTTCCTTCCATTTTTTCTCTCATTATTTTTTCAAAGGCGGTATCTTCTCTTTGTACCATATTAATATTTTCTTTAGTATTTAGACAGGTACAATTTGCTCTTATCTGTAGCCAGTTTTTCTGTCCAAGCCATTGTTTAATTCTGTTCTCCCTTACTCTTCCCTCACTATTGTACAATTGTTCTATTCTGTCTATTCCTTTTTCCTTCAATATCTGGATATTTCTATTCACATTTAATTCTTTCTCTTTATTAATTGACCATAATGTTGACATTTTTGATTTTAAACTGCCTATTCTCCTTTGCCACTTCTTCCACTCTTGCATTGTTCCTTACATTGGTCCTGTTAGTTTATCAATATGCCTTTTATCCCATTTTGTATAGATTATTTCTTCACAATCAACTCCATTAATTTCCTTCTCAAATCTCACCCATTTTTATTGGTCACTTGCAATTCTATTAGTCTTTTGATTTGGAAGGCATTGCCATATATCTCTAGACTAGGACAACCCCATCCTCCTTTCATTTCTTTTGCAATTAACAGTTTTTTTCCTTATTCTTGGTCTTTCCCCCTTCAATCCAATAATTAAGTTACCAAAAGCTTCTTACATTTTTTCTCTCTCAATAAATGTAAAACATTTTAATGATTTTAACATTCTAGAAATTTTACATCTCTGTGTTCATTGGAATGAAGTCTTGCTGTGTGTTGGATGTACAGGGGGTTAGTCTGATAAGTATATGATAACAACTTTTGATAAGTGGAATGCCTCAGACCTACTGTCTTTCTCCCTCAGGTCCTTAACAACAAAGGAGCTGCTGAATTTTCTGTTTCGATGAATGAGACGTTCAGTGTAACACCAGAATACATTGGTTCTCAGCTGCTCTTGAAATTGAAGAGGATATCAGAGGAGTATCTTGGAATGCCAGTTTCCAAAGCAGTGATTTCAGTGCCAGCTGAATTTGATGAAAGGCAGCGAAACTACACAATTAAAGCAGCAAACCTTGCCGGTAGTATACATTTTCTTCAGTACTCTTATTACACAAGTGTATTTTCATAGCTGCTTGTCCTGAGAAGACATGTGGTAGACTGACAATATTGACACAATAGCTTCTGCTTGTATGCCATTAGAAGTCATGAATAAGAACAGCTATTACAATGCAAGAGATGGGTAAGTTTAAAATGGAGTTTAAAGGGATATTTGCATATAACTAGTGTATTCTCACACCAAAAAAAATCCAGTGCTAAAAGAGTAATCAACCCTCGGATTCATCATATTTGATGTAAAAATATTCATTCACTATACTATTTTTTTTTCTTTGAAGGGCTGGAAATCTTGCGAGTAATTAATGAGCCTACTGCTGCAGCAATGGCATATGGCCTCCACAAGGTCGACGTGTCCAATGTTCTGGTGGTAGATTTGGGTGGAGGAACACTGGATGTTTCTCTGCTGAACAAGCAAGGAGGAATGTTTTTAACACGAGCTATGGCAGGTAAAAACAACAACAGTAATAATGTACTGTATAGTATTAATTCTTAAAAAAACTTTGTGGACTTATTCTCCCCCTATGTGTTGAAGATTAAGGTGAGCAACGCATGAGTCATATATGCCCCCAACCAAGTAGACATTTGTGCTGCTCAGATTTAGTAGATTGGCAGGGAAGAAACTCCAAATGTATGTTGAAAACAAGGTATGTGCTCCTTCTGTGTCTTCATTTAAATGTAAATAGGTGAGGGGTCCTGCAGAATGTGCAGGGATAGGGTTCAGCCCCTTATTGATTCTTGATGGGAGTCCTATTGGTCCTGATGTACCTTGAACATTGCTCATCCATTATATTTTCCTGACCTGAATGCTTCCTACACATTATACAGGCAGTTAAATATATGGATTGAGATGGAAAATATTGCACTTGAGATTTTAGGAAAGATACAGGTAATCTATTAGATCTGCATTTTGATGATCCATTCAAGTTTGTCAGCTGAATCTTAAAGTCCAAGTGCCAAAGTTGCACACATGTCCATCCTATTGTAGACCAGGTAAAGGAGAGATAGCAGTTAACCAGCCATGTATATATAGCTATTATTTTTCCTTAGTATGATATATTTCTTTGCAAACTTGCCTTATTGATTTTGTACTTGGGAAAAGATGCACAAAGTTGTGATCTAAACCATGTGTAAGTTTTACAAGGCCAGGTTTGCACAACTTGTAACCCACAAGCTGTGTAGGAGTGCCATCCAGTGGTATATTGAAGTTGTTTTTTGTCAGTTTATTCTCTATAAGAACAATGTCTTTTTGCATGTGGCAGAAATAACAAATGCTTAAGGCTGGCAATTAAGTATTTGGTTTTGAAAATGTGTAACTTATTGAGAGTTTCTCTCTAAGCATTGTGTACTATCAATTATATATCTTTGGTGTTCTAAATTAGTATTGCGAGTTGTCTAATGTATCTGAACTGTGTATTTTAGGTAACAACAAGCTTGGTGGGCAGGACTTCAATCAACGGTTGATGCAATATCTATATAATGAGATCTATCTCATGCATGGCTCTCTGCCTTCCAGAAAGGAAGAGATACATAGACTCAGACAAGCTATCGAAGCTGTCAAACTAAATTTGACAATTCACCACTCTTCCACAATCAGGGTTTCTCTGACTATGCCAGAGAAGAAGGACCAACATCAACACTTGCAGAAGCAGAATAAGAACCAGCATGAAAATATTGCTTTAGAATCTCAAATGAAGAGTATGGAGGACAGCTTTTCAGAAACACAGAGTGATAATACTTGGAAAAAAGTTGTCTTTGAAACAGAAATTTCCCAAAAACTCTTTGAGACATTAAATGAAGACCTTTTTGAGAAGATCCTTGTGCCCATTGAGCAGGTGTTGGAAGAAGGGCATCTCCACAAGACCGAAGTAGATGAGATTGTGTTAGTTGGAGGCTCCACCCGAATTCCAAGAATACGTAAAGTTATTACACAATTCTTTGGGAAGAAACCCAACACTTCTGTTGACCCAGATTTGGCTGTGGTCATAGGGGTGGCTATCCAAGCAGGAATTGTTGGAGGATCATGGCCTCTTCAAGTCAGTGCTGTGGAAATCCCAAACAGGCATTTACGAAAGAGAAATTTCAATTGAGTTTCAGTATTCGTATACCTTCTGTGTTATTCCTAACTTTTGATCCATTTGCATGGTACTGGGCTTTGCAGAGTCTGTTAGTTTGTCCCTCATTTTCCTTTGCAAAGGTTTGGTAATTTGAAACTGAGAGGGGTTAATTTCTACTTGAGCTGCAGAAAAGTGTGCTCATTTGTGAAAACTAGTGGTCAAAAACACTGTTCATGAAAAGTAACTTTGTCCCCCCCCTCCCCCAGTTGAGTAATCACCAAAGCCTCCAGACTTCATTACTTGAAAAGAGAATTAAATAATTCTGGAATTATGATGGCAATAGTGTTGACATTGTCTCCTGGCTCTTCCCAGGTATTTGTATTGCCTGTGCTCGACTCGGCACATTGCAGTATTTATTCAGACGTTCATGTTAAATGACATTTGAAAGCACTTTCTCAATGTTGCATTCAAGCTTGAATGTTTTAGACACCGTTATCAACATTTCTTGTCTAATGTGTTCCTTAGCAGTAATGGCCATGGGAAATTATTACTTCTGAAGAGCTGTTTTAATATTTTCTACTTTGAGGTGGTAAGAAATCATGGTTATGAAAGGTTGAGAGAGAGAGAGAGAGAATAGCATCTGAGCATCGACAGTTCAGATGTCAAGCTAAACAAATGCTTAGTGTTACATGAATTGGAGTGGTACACTCTTCCAGCAAGATCATGATTCGAAGCTTTTGCTTTCCATTTTCCAGTTATTCGCAGTTTTACCATTATGTTGAATCTTTAAACTTGTAACTATTGATATGAACCAATGTCATAAACTCTTGTTTGAACTTGACTTGTTTCAATGACCATTGGAATTGCACAATGTGTCAGCCAGAAATAAGGAAAGTATATAGGAATGAGGTTTGCTTTGAATAAACCATGGCTGGGCACTTTCTGGCCCTCCATTTTTTTCTAAAGTAGCCCATCACTGTTGGCAAATACATTCAGTGCTGTGGGATGATGGGAGTTGTACAGAGACATCTGAAGAGATACAAAGTGCTCATACTAAACTGTAGTTTAATATGTTCAGATGAAGGCACTGTATGTATCTCAGTCTGATGGCTGTCTTCCAGTTCTGATAGACTAATACTCCTGAAGTTATTTCATAAGGACATTCTTTTGTCTGCACTTTAGCTGTTGCTGTTTTTGCACTTCAGGAAACAGTTTAACATTCCATGTAAAACCTCATTTGAAATAGTACATTCAGTTACTGTTTTGGTAGAAAGTAATGTATTGGATAGAAATATTCCATGATTATTGAATGAGAACACTCCATGCTTGATAATAACAATATTGGTATTCTGAGGCTGCCATTGGTCTGTAGTATTGGAGGAAGCATATAACTGTTTACTGCTCATACTAGGTTTAGATTTGTTTTCAAAACTGTTAGTTGTCTTAATTTAAATGGTCTAAATCATTTGCAAGTCCCATCATAAGTGATTCCATTAGATCAACAAGATGTATGTACTTGTTGATTTATACAAAGGATAGCCGGAAAGTAAGGTTACAAGATTTTTTTAAAATACAAAGAATGAAAACTTGCATGGATTATAGCATAGGTATTACATTATTTTTCCACATAATCCTAATTCAGTTCAATACATTTTGTCATCCATGCGATGAGGTTTTTGATGCCTGTGTCATAGAAGTCTCCCGCCACCTTTTTGAGCCAGTTCATCACTTTGATTTTCACCTTGATGTCATCAGAAAAGTGTTTTCCACCCAGGTGTTCATTCAATTTAGTGAACAGATGATAGTCATTGGGTGCGAGATCAGGGCTTTGAGAGGGGTGGCTTAAAACATCCCAACCAAATGAAGTCAGCAACTCTTGTGTTTCATGAGCAGTGTGTGGATGTGCATTGTCATGAAGGAGAGACTCCTGCCATCAGCATCCCACAACGTTTGTTTTGGATGGCTCTGTAAAGTTTCTTTATAGTCTCACAATATCTTGCAGCATTGTTTCTCCTCTTTCCAAAAAATGAAAAGCAGAACCCCTTTTCTGTCCCAAAAAACTGACGCCACCATTTTTCTCAGAATGAATCGCAGAGGCATTCATGCCTGTTAGCATTTAGGTAGCGTATTACAGCTTAAACTTCGCACTTGGTGGGTAATGGAATGAGGATGCTCATTTCTAACCTTCACCACAATGCCAGTTGATGAGTAGTGCCAGGCATCAGTAGCTTGTTTGCTTCCGCTGGCTTCCCACCACACAGCAGTGATACCAACTTCCTCTCTGAAAATTCTCCACGAGAGCTACGTGCTTTGTAACCTTACTTTCCGGATAACCCTTGTAATTCAGTAGTTGGTTTAGTGGGCCTGCTCTATTTGAGATTAGCAAATGAGTGAGGGCCAGACGGATTATTTTTCAATCCTAAATTATCTAAAACAATACTGAGGTTTCTTTTCTTTTTTGGCTTTTGGTATTCATTCACATGGACAAATGGAAACCTGGCAAAGTAATTTTTCTCTTGGCTAAAAGCATTTCAGCATAATTGGGGAAGTAGTTACAAGGATTAAATGGTGACTGCCTATTTTACACATGCTTTTCTATGTGCGCTCTTTGTTAGAACCATTTGTGTGTGGAGCAAAGCTTATACTGTATTGATATCAACTACTTGCCCAGTTTTCAGGGAACTGTGAATCATTCTCAGTACTCAAACTTGGCTTCCCTTTCCTTTAAATCTTAGTTCACAATCTGAAGAGCAAACTGTTTTTAAATTTTTGTTTTAACAGTTCTGAGTCTTTAGGTGTCAGTTGTTTCATTTTTTTAAAGTACAAAAAATTCCACTGGCCTTAATGGTTCTTTGGATTTGGACTGTACTTTTTCTAAATCTGAAACTCTTCACACATTTCACGTGTGAGGGATGTGTGGTACTCCAGATGTTTAACTTCAGTTCCCATTAGTCCTACCTAACATCACTTGAGAAGAGGGATGATGGACATTGCTGTCCAACAATATCTGGAAGATTACACAGCCTTCATTTCTGATGTGTGCCTTAACTCATTTCTGACATATGGTGACTCTTAAGGCGAGGTTTTCTTGGTAATTTTTTTTTTCAGAGGAAGATTTATTTGCCTTCCTCTTGGTAAAAGAATGTGACCTTCCCAAAGCCAGTCTGGGTGTGTTCACCATGTAAGCTGTCTTTCCATCTCTTAAAACTGCACCAATTAATTGAGACATACACTAGATACTGTATACTCTTGATGATAGAAAAGGGAAGTCAACAGTTGAATTGAAATAGTCTTTTATATTCTTGCCAACACAAAGCCTTCTCCAGTTGCTTGCAAAGTTGGTAGCAGTGCTCATTTATATTAATGTTTTGTTTGATTAAGCAAGAAAAGGAATGCTTTACCTCAGTGTATTATAAATGCTGTTGATCTGTTTTTTTATTATTATTTTGAAATATGTTGGAACCATAAGTTATTAGGTAATGATTTTTATATAGTCCAAACATGTTAAAAGTTAAACTTTGACATATGGCATTCATATGGGTAATAGGCTAATCCTATTTTGTGTTAAAATTGAACAAATTAATACCAAGGGAACATTTTTTGTATCTTACATTCAGATTTAGCAGGAAGAAGAAAGCATTTTCTTTGTATTTTGAAGAACAAAAGGAAAGCCGCCTCTGGTGGACCAATCTATCTAACTATTATGGGGCAGATACAGACCTGCACAGGTAGTTAAAGCAGAATAGATGTGCTTGCTTTTGACCCTTAACATTACATCAGGGTGGAGAACTTTCGGACGACAACTCCTTTCATACCTTGCCATTGGCTAGACTTCTGAAAACTAGGCTCAGTGCTGAGATTGAGATTTAGCTGCAGGGTTAGAAGAGTTGTTTTACAGAGATAAACACATTTTGGACATCATCCATTGATTCTCAACCTGTGGGTCCCCAGATGTTTTGGCCTTCAATTCCCAGAAATCCTAACAGCTGGTAAACTGGGATTTGTAGGCCAAAACAGCTGGGGACCCACAGGTTGAGAACTACTGATTTTTACACAAAAAATAATCACTGTAAAATGTTTCTTTTTCAAGACACTGCTGTCTAAAGAAAAAGAACATGCTTATGTGTTCAAATTGTTCTCATGCGTGTCTGTTAAATTACTGTGTATGAAACAAGATTTATACTTTCTTAGAAGTATAGTATGTTAAGTTAGCTAAGACAGTGGTCAGTCTTTTTTCGCTGCTGCTACAGTTGTTACTAGATTGTTGCACAGAAAATGGGTGAAGGCTACTGTGGAACATCTTTCTTGAATGATGCGTTTATGAAATTGACTTTTTGTATAAAAATAAAAGGCCTTTTTCTAGTGCTTGGCATTTTATTTTAAATTGAATATCCTTAGCTGGCAATACTGCAATATTGCCAAATGATATCCAAATGGAGTAATAATGAACTTTGAAGTCTCTGGTACATAAGGGATGTTTAAATTGGTGCATTCTTGCCCACAGGCTGCAAGTGCACCTAAATGTTTGGTATGTATTGCCCCACTTAAAGTGACAACCGAAGTGATGTAGCTAAACTGCACATATTTGCCATAGGTGGCCAAAGGCTACACTTTACCCAGCTCCAGCTATAGAACAAAAATGTCATTGCTCTAGCTGTTGCTGCATCCATAGGCAGGTACTTTCCATTCACTAAATAGACCATCTGAGAGATTCTTGTTTGCTGGCAAGATTGTGACATCAGTTATATATTCTCCAGCAATGGTAAATTTATTTGACCTTAATTCCTCAATTTCCACATATCCTCTTAGTAAATGAAAACTTGAGTTTCTAAGATATCCTCATCTTCTGTTCTAATATTTTAGGCGACTGCCTGTAAAGGTGCTGTGAACTTACTAATAGCAAGGCCATTACTAGACATCCTGGCAAGTATGTCACTTGTCAGTGATGAACATTTTTTAAAGGATTTCTCTTCACAAATGTCACTAATCTTTACAGTGGATGGATATGTTTGCCTGGTGTCAAGAAGACCAAATTTTAAAAGCAGTTTACAACCTCACATCTTCTACTGAGCCATGGTCCTGCTGCAAAAAAGGGACAAGTGGCACAGACAGTAAGAACGACCAAATATCTGAGCCCAACCTCTTTGATAGCTGTTCAGGCTGTTTTCTTCAGAGAAAGGCTAGCAAGGCTGGCATGTAAACTTGTGTGTTGTGCATGAATACTAGCTAAAGTGATGCTGTATCCTTAAAACGAGGCTGCATTCTGACTTAGCAAGTCATCCCTATCACAGGGATTGATTTCATTGCCCTTGGTGGGAAAAGCAGCTCCATCCTTGCCAGGGTAAGCTGAACGCTTTGGCAGAGTAGCTTCTCTCTCCATTCTTTCAAGCCTATGTCTTTCTAAGTGTGTGGGAATAGCTCTACCAAAAAGAGCAATGCCTGATCCACTCATCTAAGGGGGATCAATATTTGTGCATAGTATAAATGGGAAGTTGTATCACCCAGTTTGATTAATATTTGCCAAGGAAATAAATGCCAACAGAATTCTACCAATTTGTATTGTACATTTACTTTCCTATATTGATCAGGTTTCAGTATTTAAATATACAGGGCATTAAATGAACTATTGCCTCCCCTGGTGGCGTAGCGGGTTAAAGCACTGAACTACTGAACTTGCTGACCAAAAGGTTAGCGGTTCGAATCCAGGGAGCAGGGTGAGCTCCCGCTGTTAGCCCCAGCTTCTGCTAACCTTGCAGTTCGAAAACATGCAAATGTGAGTAGATCAATAGGTACCACTTCTGCGGGAAGGTAACAGTGCACCATGCCGTCATGCTGGCCACATGACCTTGGAGGTGTCTATGGACAATGCCAGCTCTTCAGCCAAGAGTCAGAAAGGGGAAACCTTTACCTTTAAATGAACTATGGCAGGCAGCCCTGAACTGTAGTTCAGCCAAGGTAGTGATATACCATGAACATCCTGGTATTATATGGTAATAATTCTGACACAAATAACTTCAATTATTTAAAAAGGCACATGCACTTTATATTAAAAAAAATTATTGTAGACAGTTCAATTTTTTATTATCTGTGCCTATTCCCACCCCCTGCTTAAAATAATCTTCATTATAGAATGAAAAAGTTACTGACACCATTATTGTAATAGAATTTGGAGGAAAAATGTACACACAGTGTTCCCCAAAGCATTAACTGTCTCTTTCTTGCAGCATCCCAGCTTTGGACACCATTTCATAAAACATGCCTTTCTTTTGTAGCAATCTGTCAGGAGTATCAAATTCAGCAATCCTCCCAGACTCAAGGACAAGCACTCTGCAAAAGAAACAAAACAGGTTTATTTTGAGATTGGGACAGAAGGACCTGTTCTAGTTTTAGTTCCGCAGAGAACGGTGGGAACTGGTCAGTTTGCACAATAAAGCTATTACAGTCAATGGTTAATGCCTGATGGATATTTTCATCTTTAAGAGAAGGGACTATAAGCATGTAAGGAGTCCCAATTCAAACTTTACCATCTGTTTCAAAGGCAGGCAGCAGGCTGTGTGAAAAAATGACCTAGGCAGAATCTATAGACCCTGCCAGTCAATCAGCAATGTGGGTCTATATAGATAAACAGTCTCTCCTACTAAAAGGCAGATTTCAGGGGTCAGAAGAAAATATTTTAAAATGTTTGAACAATGAGCCCCTTTTTCCAGGTACATTTGGTTTTGTTGTTGCCAAGACCAGAATCCGCTGATGCACTGCATTGGTAGATTCATCTTTTCCTAGAAATTCACAGTAGTGACAAGGGAAGACAGATAAAAAATGTGATCGCTCTGAGTAGTCTGTTTCTCAGATTTCTGGTTCTCTTCACAGCCACTGAGCCCATTCTGCCTCTGCCTTCTACCACAAGGTATTTTTGATATGGTTATGCCAGTATTTATTGTGTCAGAAGTGAATTGAAAATACAGAATACAGAAGCATCTTGATTATGCCAGTGTAGTGTATGAACATAATTTCAAGCACTATCAAACATCAACATAGTAGAATTATCAAATTTGGATTCAGTGGCAATCCCTTTTCTTGTGGAAGTTTATAGAGAGGCTCAACTCAAAGTGGCGAAAGAGTTTTGTTTGACTACGGCATGGACAAAAGCATTTTTTAAGAGTCGTGGAAAAAGTCAGTCACAACAACATACCGATCAGAATCCATTATTGACTGTAGTCTGTGTGCAATGGTTATTATTGTACAGTTATGAAATTCTTTCCGTATTGTGGCTTGCACTACATTATCCGTTTCTATATCAAGTGATGCTGTTGCTTCATCCAATATTAATACTTTGGTCTTCCGCAATAAAGCCCGAGCAAGGCAAACAAGCTGTCTCTGTCCCACACTGTTAGAACAAAAATACCATTTTAATTGTGTTTTCTTAACCAAAATCCTCAAGTGGGTAAAAGGTAGCTACAGACTGCTTAAGCTTCTTACAAATGGGCAGAACATTAGGCCTGTGCGGTTTCGTTCGTTAATTTCGTAATTCGTTAAACATTCGTTAATTTTTGCATTTACGAAACGATAACAAACCATATTTTCAAACCCGGAAGGGTTTTTAAATATCGAAACGGCAACCCCCACAGTTTTAATGAGCTTTCGCCCGTTTCTTAAATGGGCCGGGCGGGGCGAAGGGGCGGCGCGAGCGCGCACCCAGTGAGCCAAGCCCCGCGCCTGCCTGTTGGGCGCGAGCGCGGCTCCCGATTGGCCGGCCCGCGCGCGCTCGCCCTTAGGGAGCCAAGCCTTGTTCCTGCCTGTTGGGCGCGAGCGCGGCTCCCAATTGGCCGGCGCGCGGAGGCCGGTTGTCTCTTTAAGGCTCCTCTCTCTCCCAGCTGTGTTGCAGGAAGTGCCAGGAGGAGGAGGAGGAGGGCGCAGGAGCCGGAGCCGGAGCGCAGGAGCCGGGGAGGGGATTCCTGCAGCGCCGGCTCTGCCTCCGTGGCCCGCCTGAGATGAGAGATGAGATGAGAGATGAGATGAGAGATGTTCCAGAAGCATTCTCTCCTGACATTTTGCCCACATCTATGGCAGGCATCCTCAGAGGTCTGTTGGAAACTAGGCAAATGGAGTTTATCTATGGAATGTCCAGGGTGGGAGAAATGAAAGCCATTCAATGCTAATCAAGGTGACCAACTGCAACATTCACACTTACAAAATGTTTTGTAAATATTTACGAAATTTCGTAAATAACAAAACATTTTTTTGGGAAAGTTTTGTAAATATTTTAAATATCGAAACAAAAAAACACCCCAATTACAAATCGATTTTAGAAACAAATTTTTTCTTGATCAAACAGGCCTATATAATCTAGATTATCAAAGCAGATCATCCAGATCATCTTCTTTGAATTTGTTTATATGAGTATGAAACCAGAATTTGCAGTTCTCCCAAGTCCCGAGGGATGCCTGGTGAGCCAGCTAACATGGATACCGAAGCAGGAACCGAAAACTTTACCAGGATGTAAGCAAACAACAGATAATTTATTCCATTTGTGCAAAAGGGACACTTGTACAGCACAGGTGCTTGAAGGCTAAGAGGGTAAACATGTATTCACAAGCAGACATCTTTGTACCCAGAAGTTTCCACTCACTGACATTGTCTCATTTCAAAATCTCCCTCCCTCCCTGATTGGCCAACTTGGCAAACCCAGCTTCCCTGGCACTTGCCCTGATTGGTGAAGGCGCCAGTGACATAGCTGAGGATCTCCTCCTAGCTGAGCAAGGAAGCCCAGAAGCCACCAATCAGTCAGGCAGAGGCAATCAGGAGGGAGGGAGCTATGGGGTAGATGGCATAGCAATCACAGTTTCAGTGTGGACTTTTGTCCCATGACTGTCCAAGATCTTCAAAAGGAAATCCCAGGGCCGTGAACAAATGGCCTCCTGCTGGGATCTGGGAAGAATCTTTGTCCAAAGGTTATGGCCCATCTCTGGCTGTAATCTGGGGTGTGGATATGATGCTTGGAAACTGCTCAAGGGAGAGGTTACTGGAGTTCATTGTTTCCAAGTTCATGTACATTTGCCTTCATTTTATAGAGTTTAATAATAATAAAACATAAAGAAATAGAAATAAAGAATAGACTTTGTGTGGTATTTGGTGGGAACCAAGTATGAAGAAGAAGGAAAGGGGTGAAGATTGGGGGTGTCGCCATTGTTGAGCAGCAGCTGAGGGGGTCACCGATTGTATTTTGTTGTCTGTTATCTGTATTTGTTATTTGTATTTTGCTCATCTGTTCATGCAAATGTTCGCAGAAGAATAAAAGAATAATAAAAGTAGAGAAATAGGAAGAGATACATGGTAACAAGGGAAGGAGAGAGACAGAGTAGCAGGGGCTCGCAAAATGGAGGTGCTATGGTTTCTTTGTGGCTGTTTGGCTGGCTTCCTAGATGGGAGGGAGAGAGGATCAGTTGGCTGAACTCCACCAAGCCTGTGGAGATCAGCTGGAACAGACCAACCAGAACTAAGGGGTTGGGCCAGGGTGCGTATTGGGATTTGGGGGACCATGGTGGGTGGGTTGCTAGTGGTCCTGAGGAGGCTCCAAGGAGACGGTCCTTGGGAAAACTATAAATCATGGGACATAATCTATGTGTTCTTTTTTATTAGGGGTTGGGTTGGGTGTCTTCGATATCAAGTCTACACTGCCAGATAATCCTGTTCAACGTCTTAGGCCCCTTCTACATTGCCATATAATCAAGTTCAAAGCAGATAATCTGAATTTTATTGGGTGGTGTGGAAGGGACAATAGTAACACCTCAAAGGGTGTCTTTGCGCTATTTTACCTATAAAAGTAAACGTAACTGTGCAATTGGGTATTCCGTTGTTATAGCACTTGGGGGCCCATGTTTTTTGGTTTTCCATCTTTTCCCCCTTATTTTCCAATTTTTTAAAAAAACTTCTCTCTTGAGATCAAGAAAAACCTGGTTGTTGTCTACTGTATTTTAACACTCCACCTTTAAGAGACTGAGGTGACAAAATATTTCAGATTGTCTTACTCTTGTCCAAATATATATACAAGGGAACTACAGTTCCCTGGCTACCACTGTTTCTGGTTTCAGCTCAAAATGCTGAGTATAGTTTAACACCCTTATATCACTTGGTTTCAGGGTATCTGAAGAGCCCATGGTCTCACACACAAATCTGCCTGGGTGTTAGATCTTCAGGAGACACTTTTCCTTCTGTCCCATCATGGTCAGAAGCACATCTGTTGGAGAAATAAGAGAGAGGGCTTTCTTGTTGGCTCCCAAATGAAGCTCCTTCTCTGATGTCTTTTCATCCACCGGAAAAGACCAGGCTATCTGTCTGAACGTATCTTCCCCTACAAACCAACTCGGAGACTAAGATCATCTGGGGAAGCCCTGCTCTCAGTCCCACCTGCCTCACAAGTATGGTGGGTGGGGACGAGACACAGGGCCTTCTAAGTGGTGGTTCCTGGGTTGTGGAACTCCCTTCCTAATGACATTAGATCAGCCCCCTCCCTACTAGCCTTCAGGAAGAGAGTCAAAACCTGGCTCTGGGAGCAGGCTTTTGAAAATTAGGGCAATGCAGTATGCCGAATATAGAATTATGTGCAATTTGACCTTGGAATTGCCTTAGACCTTGAACTCTGGATGGCATGTTTTTAACTTTGAATGTATTTTAATATTTTAGAATATGTTGTAATTTAAATTATTTTAAGGTGAATTTGTTGTTTTGAGGCACTGTGTATGTGCCGTTGTAAGCTGCCTTGAATCCCCCTGCTGGGATAGAGAAAGGTTAGGTATAAATATGGCAAATAAATAAATACATAAATAAATTTAGCAACTGACTTCTAATGTTTCAGAAGGTGTTTCTTATTGGGTAGATGCTATGTTTTATTTTATTGAAGCATTGAAAAGTGCATTTTAATTTTTGAACCTGTTTTATTGTTTAAATCAATTTGTTTTTTATTGTTTAAATCAATTTAAAAGTGCCTTGAGATCTATTTTTGACAATTCTTATTAACTTCCCTTGAATTCCATAAATAAGTAATTAAGTAACTAATTAAAATTTTCCCCACTGTGTCAAGGTTTAGAAAATGCAATAAAAACAACCAAGAGCAAAATCTCATGGATTGTTTAGTTACTTCCATTGAAAACAGGAGTGATCAAGATGAGTGAATAAATATGCTGCCTATCCATATTAATTGAGGGTTCCTTGGATCCTTGACTTATTATGTTTCATAAATGCACCTAATATGTTACAGATAAACTATGCTTTTAAAAAAGCAGGGGTTTCTTTTAACCCTCAGATGATGTTGGAGTGAATCTCCCATCATTTCTCACCACTGACTATGCTGGCTAGGACTGTCAGAAGTTGCAGTCCAACAACATTTATTGGCTGTAGTTTGTCCACCCCAGTTCAATGTGATAGAAATGAATGCATTCCACACAAGGTTTTCTACAGATTGGGGGGAAAACAATGTTCTGATTGATTATGGTTTCCTAGGCAGTATTTGCTCTGTCTCTACTAAGCCTTTTCTACAAACTTTCATTGACAAGATGGGAAGAACCAACTTGAAGCAGAAATGTAGGTAATTAGAAGAGAAACAAGGCATGTGATTGTAAAGTTACAGAAAGGCCCTCTGGGAATAAGTATTAGATGTGTGGCTTGAAAGCTTCCTTCCAGCATTCTAAACACAAAGACAGTCCAAAATGTTATTTTCTCTTCTTTTGCTTGTGCTTGTGAAGACATAATGTTTTAACCAATTCAGGTGACAGTAAGTGCAGAACCAAATCATAGTAGGTTTTTTGTGGCTGATTCAAATGTGTTTCAAAGGGAGGAGATTGGAACGAAGTACATAAAGGAAGAATGGAAGAACTAGCAGAGTGAGCCACACAATTTGAGAAAGGAAATGTTTGATAAATTTGAGAAACCATGAAAGGAAATGGAAAAAGAGGATTGCTACATTAGAATCCTGTGTATACTCAGGATGCATCTACATTGTAGAAACAATGCAGTTCGCTACAGAATCACGAGGAGTATAGTTTTACAATGTCTTTAGGTATCCCTGTCAGAGAGAGTTATGATGTTTCAACAACTTCAAATCCCATGACACCATAGTACTGAATGATGGTGGTCAAAGTGATGTCAAATTACATTAATTCTACAAAGTAGATGCACCCTCAGGCACCATTTGCTATTTATTCCCTGGTGAACACGCGTTACAAGCAAGAGTGTATATTTTGGGGGACTGTGAGGTTCAACCCCTATGGACTACAAATGGCAGGTTCATGTGACAACCCAGACCATTTTGATGTTTTCTGTGTTTCTATAGTACCTGTAGCAACTGAGGGTGTGCTTAATGCAGTTTGATACCACTTTAACAGCCATGGCTCAATGTTATAGAATCCTGGGATGTACTGTTTGGTGAGGCACCAGCACTCTTTGGCAGAGAGGCAGAAAACCTCAGATAACAT